AATCGATTAGTTTTATTTAGAAGTTATTGATTTTTGTTTATATAAGATATTAAACGAAATAGATTTACAAATATAGTGAATTTTGTTGATAATAAACAAGATTTCGACTTAAATAAAAAAAAACTAAAAACATATTATTTTCTCAGCTGAAAGACATAATGTACTTAAATATCAATTATCTATTAACGTCTTCTTGAGTAACGACTATTTGAGAAAATTTAGAACCTCCTTATAAATTGCAAATAAATATATTTTTATGTCTTAATTTTAATCGATTTGAATAAAAATCGATTAAACAACACCCTCAGGCACGCGTGTTGGACATCCCTTTCTGGTTACTTCGTAAAGCTTCGTGCTTATTCGGCAATGCTCGGTACACGGTAATATTTCTCAGTCACACGTTAGCATTGGTGTCGTGTTCGTGTCGCTATCTCTGTCTTGAGCACAGTCGGTTACAAAAGTTTTCGTTGTTATTGTTGTTTGTTTTTATTAATAGTGTTAAGTTTGTTTTGTTTGTTTTATTTGTTTTATTTGCAAGTGTCAGTTAGCACTTATATTATTCGCCAAACATGCCACCAAAACATAACAGTGTGTTAAATCGCCAGGCGAGAAAAATTATTTACGATTTAACGCAATATATGAAAAAAGAAAAAGAAGAAGGCGTAAAAGATGTCGATAAAGTTTATTTAAGAGTTGCTAACGCAACTGGTGTGTCCCAACGCACAGTACAGCGGATCGCAACTGAAGGCAATATTTCGGGCTTACTTTCAGTATTCCGCACGCCTGGTAAAAAAAGGTCTAGATCAAAACCTATTACTGATATGGATAATTTTGACCAGGGAGTAGTAAAAAGATGCATACACAACTTCCACAAAACTGAAAAAGAAATGCCGACGATAAACAAATTACTAGCGAAACTCAAACGGGATATAAATTTTCAAGGTGGTAAAACGAGCTTAAAGACAATTATCAAAAACTTGGGTTTCAAGTGGCGAAAGACCGAAACCAATAGAATGGTTCTTATAGAGAAGACCGACATTCGCCTGAAAAGGATCTTGTACTTGAAGGCAATGAAAAAATACAGGGACGAAGGGCGACCAATTGTATTCACTGACGAGTCGTATGCCCACTCATCACATACAAAAGGTAAGGCGTGGTCAGATGGTTCCGCTCAAGGACTAAAGCGCCCGATATCAAAAGGTCAGCGGATAGTGATGGTACACGCTGGGTCAGAAGCAGGGTTTGTTCCGAACGCGCTACTAATGTTCAAATCTGGCAGCAAAACCGGAGACTATCATGATGACATGAATTTCAAAAATTATGAGAAATGGTTACGGACCCAACTGATTCCAAATTTGAGCCCTAACTCGGTGGTGGTTATCGATAATGCTCCGTACCACAACAAATTAATGGATCCTGCCCCTACATCTAATGACAAGAAGGCAAAAATGGAATCGTGGTTATTAGAAAAGGGTATACCATATGAAAAGGACATGCGTAAACCACAACTTTACGATCTAATATAAAAAAACAAAGACGTGAATAAAAAATACGTAATAGATGAAATGTTTAAACAAAACAACCACGATGTCCTTCGTTTACCCCCATATCATCCCGATTTAAACCCCATCGAGATGGTGTGGGCTGCCATTAAAGGGCACGTAGCCGCTAAAAACGTCGACTGGAACGTAACCCGGACAATGGAGCTCATACAAGAAAAAGTAAATTTAATGGGTCAGAATGAATGGAGTGCTTTATGCAGAAAAGTGCAAGAGGTCGAACATGACTATAGGAAGAGCGACCATATTATTGACGAAATGACGGATCAATTATTCATCATTAATACAGCTTCAGATTCAGAAAGTGAGTCTGAAAGTGAGAGCGACGATTACGAAGATGAACCTATGCCAAGTACCTCACATGGTACACAAGGGGCCGACGACTTTATGTTAGGAATTTCCCCCCTCAGCGACAGTGATTAAATAATAATAAGTGTAAATAAATAAAAAGTATTAAATGTAAATAATATTGTATGTGTTTGTGATAAAATCTGCCCCTATCGAAAGGTGAGGTATCAAAATTGAATCTTTAATTTATAATGTCTCCAAAGTGTTTTGATATTTTTGGTCACTGTATTAGGGAAATTTTATTTGTACATTGGTATATATAAAAAAATGACAATAACAGTTTTCTTCACGAGTGTTCATGCGCTAAACTTCGCAGAGCCTATATTCAGACTCGCCAAGATACGTCGGCCGTATAATACACTAGAGAAAGAAAGAATGAGAGAAGTATGATTGATTTGTTCCTGGTGGATGACCGACTGCGAAAACAGGTGATGGATACACGATTGTTCAGGGGTGCTGACCTGGGAACGGATCACTATTTAGTAATTACTAGATTTAGGGGTTTGTTCGCGGGTTGGCGCTACCGGACGGCAATAACAGAACCACAGTCGGTCTGTCGCATCCGAAGCTGGAAGCTTCAGGAAGCGGATACTAGGGACAAATATCACACGAGGGTAGCCGAAAAGCTTGACACCATCGATGGCAGGAAAGAATGTGTGGAGAGAACATGGCAGAACCTTAGGGATGGAATGGTATGTGCAGCGGAAGAAGTATGTGGAACGACAAAAAGAGGTAGTAGTAAAAGAAGAGATGCATGGTGGAATGAAGAAGTGAAAGAAGCTGTAAAAAAGAAGAAAAAAGCATGGTTAGACTACTTGGCCACTAGTAAAAGATGAAAGAAAGATATAAGCTGCAGAAAGTTCATGCGAAAACATTGATTGAGGAAGTACGTGAAAGGTGTAGAATAGAAGCGGATGAGAGATTGTCGCACAACTTTAAGGAAAACTCCAAACTCTTCTGGAAAGAGGTTGGAAGGTCCCGGAGTGATGCGACAGCCTGCTTCTGAGTGTTAACCAGAGGATTTTCTGTGCTTTTGTGGATCTGGAGAAAGCATTTGATAAGGTTATAAGGAAGAAAATGTGGGAACTGTTGCCGGGATATGGTGTGGATGGCCAATTGTTAAGGGCTGTGCAGTCACTTTACTATGACTGTAAAGCCTGTGTGCGGGTAGAGCATGACCTGTCACCCATGTTTAGCGTCCAAGCGGGCGTAAAACAGGGTTGTGTCATGTCCTCCTGGCTGTTCATACTGTATCTCGACAGCTGTTTACACTTGACGACACTTGGCGATAGTAGTTTTTGTGAGTGCAAACGCCACCATCAACAAAACATGTGTGATTTATTTTATGCGATTTGTTTCAAAACATGACGTGTTGGATGTTTCTCAGTGCAAACGTACCGTTAGACTAATTCGACTAGTTGGCTACGACATATATACCAAAATACAAGGCGAAAGCAATATATTATGCTTTTACAACACCCCATTACAAAATATATGTCCTCACAATAGAAACACCATAATTATTATGAACTATTCAAATAAATTCCCAAACGAACTGCCAAGCGTTACAAATATTGCAAATATAAGGAAACATGTGAAAGGAGTCTATGTTCAAAGTTGCACTAGTAATTGCATAGGGTTCTAATACAACCAAAAATGTTTTTGAAATCATCTTGCAAAGGATCACCACAGATTACAAAATACTACTACTACATACAAAATGGCCACACTCCTCCCGCAATCATATCGTATACATCAACCCACCCGGATTTTAATAACACTATCTTGAAGCCAGAGTATAATAATTTAACCCATGGCAGTACTAAAGGGATGTATGAAGGTCCAACCCTGTTTTAATCTATATTAATGACCTTTGCCGTATCATGACTAATGATCATTAATTTCCCATTTGTGGATTACTATAGCTTTCACCAGGAAGCATAGGAATTCTATTAAGTTACGGGATGATCGTGGGCTAGCTGAGATCACAGAGTCGTTGAATCGTTTTAGGTATGTCCAATGCATAATTTGATCTATTTCTTTTATAAAACGTGTATAACTAGCGGCACAAAAGTCTATCGGTGAGCGTTATTGCGCATAAGTCGAAAATAAGGTATTATGTGGTAGTTAACAGGTCGCGGGGCGGGCGTGCGTATTGCTGATTGGCTGTGCGTATCGTTCGCATGCGCTGATTGGCTACTGCTACTTGCTTACGGCTACGGCTTTTGGCGTACTGATACGACTCAGCTATCACATTTCGTTCAGCGCTGGAGTTACGAGCTGCGACTTGTAACGTGTGAACAGTAGTAAATTGCACAACGATTAAATCCACACCGGAAACAATTATTTGTAGACCATATAAATACTTATTCCGTGCGGTACTTATTTAAACCCGCGCATAGAGCAACACAGGTCACCAGTGGATCGAAGGTGAGGAGGAGATCATACGCACGCGTTTTCCTCTGTCAAAGCAGAAGTCCACGCGGTCCTATGCGTACAATAAAACTAATTGCAGCCGCATTGCTCACTAGACCAAATCTAGTAGTGCGGCAGAATAGACGTCCTACAAAAATGCATAATTGTTGAGTTTTTTTACTGCAAAAAGAGATCTGCCACGTTAATTTCACAAAACACTACCGGCGTTACCTTTCATATATAAGCAATTTTTAATCACATTAAAGTTCGTTTTAATCACATCGTTGTTTCCGATTTGTATACCAACACAAGCCGCTCGCCTTGATACAATTTGCAGATCTGTCGAGCAACTGATCCGAGTCTGTATACGAGTTGTTGCGTGAAATTGTTACTTTATTGTTGTTATTTTTTTGTCTAAATTTGATAGCAAGACAATATTATTTCTGTGTGCGTAGATTTCCCCCTGCGAAAAATGACAGAGTTCTGTATCGGGAAGAAACGCTACACTCCTCTGGACCGGTCCGCGGGTGGCACGCGTTGCTCTTTGGAACCCGCGGCCCTCAGCGCTGCAACTCATTACCAAGCCGCTGCATCATTTGTATTTAATTTGACTTAACAGTTTCCGCCAAAATGGCGGGGCCGTTGCCTCGAGCAAGCGAAACTGAACCTGTGACCTACCCCCTGTCGTCGGCGGTCAGCGTGCCATTGGCGGTGGGTCCCAGCTGCTTCTTGTCAAAGTGTTCCAGGAACAATGGCCGGTACTTCGGCCGGTTAGTGTCCATCGGGTCCGTGTCGTGCCCTGAAATTAACAACAGTAAAATATTACATTGCGCTAACGAGTTTATGCCGTGTGCTGACGTCAGAAAATAAAACAGCCCACCGTCCTGTAGGTGTAAGAGACGACTATGGGATATGCCATCAAAGACTTCTACGTATACTAACACCGACAATACATAACAAGAACGGTGTCACAGCTGCGGATCTAGATCAAGTCTGAATACAGTTGCGGTAATCCAACAAACGTTTTGCAAGGCGGTGTCGGATTATCCAATTTGTCGGACTATAGAGTACTGCCATAGCTACTTGGTAGTCCGGACCGTTTTGAAAAAGAGTACGTAGTAATCCAACAGATTACATATCAAAAATATAATAAATAAAAATGTCATCTGATGCACAATGAATACCTAAACAGTAAATAATGGGTGCGTTTGGCATAAAAAAGCGCTAGCAAGCGCTTGCAAACGCTTACAAGCGCTGAAATAGTTTTCGGCCAGGACACGATTGCTACTGCAGTAGCGCTGACACAATCCGCCATTTTGCTATGTTTTGAAGTAGAGTTTATAAGTTGTTTTGAGCAATATTATTTTTAAGTAATATAATGACCTACATGTATACCTACATGTTATTAAAAATTCATAATTGGTAAGTTTTTAATATGAATACTTTACAAACATATATTTAAATTAGGTTAGGTTCCCCGGTTAAAACTAACCTCGTGTCCTAGAGGAAAATAGCTACTTACGATTTGACAGCGCTTACCGCTTACGATCGCCATTTTATTTACAAGCGCTTGCTAGCGCTTTTTTCTACCAAACGCACCCAATGAATGTCAGCTAGGCCGCTACCACAGTTACATTTGAACTGAGACAATACGCGTCAAGCTAGATTCGTGGTGCCACGCCACTATAATTCTTCTTTACCTCAAAGTCTGGCATAACCTTTCCTTTACCCGGCAATAAAAGGTATCCATGACGATAATCCTTCGATAAAAAAGGTGTCTATCTATAGCTGCATTCACTTACCATTATGTGAACAAAGTGCTTTTTTGTCACCCTTATTTCTATAAAAAGTATTCTAAATAGACAATAAGTACGTACAGATTGATAAATCAATGGATGTTTTATTATAACATAAAGTTAAATTTGCTTGTACCTATGCGTATTTTCTATTTCAATTTGCATACATTTTAAAAGCTTTTGTCGTTATTATTCGTAATAACATTCGACGTCATTATACTCTCTTTCGTTGTAAGTTGTTAAAAAAGCTCATTAAAAAGTCGATCAATCAGTTTTTGTTGTAATGGTTTAAATGACAAACAGGTGTTTGTCCACGTATTCGCGAAGGACACCTCCCCCATGGCGGATTCGTAGCGCAACTCGAGTTTATCTACAAGTTTATGACATGTCGGGCTACAAGGGGGGATTGGCCAGGGGCCGGATAACCGGGGTCTACTGTATGCAGACAGATATAAACTTAAAGACTGATTGAAGTGTGATCAGAATAATGTGATCATTTGAATGCGATAAGGTGAACGTGCAAGTGTAGTGAATACACAAATGTGAACGCACAGCACTTGGTGTCTTATAAGTAAATAGACCTAAATATGTGAGTCAAGCTTAAATCATTCGTTTAAATATGTGTTAAATTAAAAACATACGCGTAAATGTATGCGTCAAGGTTAAAATAATCGCGTAAATATGTGTTAAGATAAAAACACACCCGTAAATGTATGCGTCAAGGTTAGAACATTATTGTAAATGAGAGCAATAAGGTTAAAACATATGCGTAAATTTGTGCGTCAAGGTTAGAATGCTGAATACCGAGTTAAGTTTAGAACATTCTTTAAAATTGGGGTTAAGTTTATAACATACGCGTAAATGTGTGCCTCAAGGTATGAAAATACGCGTAAATGCACACACAACGTATCATGTATACATTCATACTTACCAGTGTATGTACAGTGCATCATGTGTGTGTGAGTGGGAGCCACGTATTTGCGGATGTACTAACTTTTCATGGTGGCGAGGTCCGGCTCGTTGATGACCATGGTGCCCAAATCAGCTACCAGCTCAGCCGTGGCAGTTCCGTCCCGGTTCGGTACTAGCGTGCCGGCGTCGCGTTGCTTCATCGTCGCGTCGTTGTAACCGTCGCCCTGAAACAATATTATTATAATTATGAATTAATATATCTAAAATATAAAAAAATATATTTTGTGCTCTTCAAACTAAGTAAGAAGCGTAATTTAATTTTATTACGTGAAAACCACCATCAAAAAATTAACCAACCGAAAAACACATGTCAAAGGGAATCAAGATTAACTGCATCTGCTGTTCACGTCTAAACTTTTCAAGAGAAAATCAAAGTAACTAAGTTATAGTGAGTGTGTCGGGTAGACTGAAAAATCACGTAGGAATGTGATTAAGGACGACCGAAACCTTCCACATCCGAAGATATCGTTGAGGCCAAGTTGAAGCTGCACACCGCTGCCGCTAACCGTGAGTTTACCTACTTCATTTACCCTTCCTGGTGGGCCAGGTAAATTTTTTCTCATCGTGCGTGAATTAATTAACAATTCCATATAAGATTTTTTTTGGTGTAGAAAAGTGTCGCGATTTCTACAAACACGGAGTTCAGTGAGCGCATTTTCCACCCTATTCACATGACTTGGAAAAACTTAAGAGGGCATATGCGTTTCGCGTCGAAAACTACATGTTTTATGATTTTTCCAAAGGCGATAACGTAACGACGTGAGGAGATTATTTGCTGAAAATTAGGGCTTTAGAAAGATGAAGTCTTTATTTAGTACATAGCAGTGCAAAATCATAGTTTTTAATGACGGTTTTTTAGGGCGAAGACAATCCCTTCACAGCGTTTTACGAAAATATGCGTCAGAGTTATCTTTCAGGTTGAATACAACCATTATTATAAGCTTAAATACTTTATTTTAAGCGTTATTATAATGGAATATATAGTCTTTTAGTGTATAGCAAAACCTAAATTACGAAAATATTTCGATTTAATATTATAAAATAATATTATAAAATCACCAAAACTGTCTACTTCAATGTAATTTTTTCCATGTATTTGCTACATATCTATTTTAATTTTTTTTATCAAAATACATGTAATGTTAAATATCCAAAAAAAAATTTAGCTCGTTTTATTTTGTCAATTATTTTAAAAATACTATAAAACATCATGCGCAGGCACTGTTCGATTCAGTACGCTCCGGGTAATCCCAACGACAGGACGTATCACTTTTTCTCACCGACACCGCGCGATCGCGTTGATACACCGATAGGGATATACTACACTATACTATAACTAGCTACCTATAGCACCATCGAGCATTTTAAACGATTGAGACTTTTATAAGCGATATTTTTGGTAGTAAGTAATTTTGAAATATGTTTATGATTGTAATATTTAAATATTAAATGATGTAATGGTGACAAATTTTCATTTCATACATATTTTTTTTAGAAATGAGTAATTGAACGTAAGCAATTCGGATCGAGTAAAAATACAAAATCGTTGGCTTTCACCTTTAGCTCCGTGGCGGAGTGACTTGGTAATGAGTTGTAGCGCTGAGCGCCGCAGGTTCGAATCCCACATTGAGCAAAAATTTGTATTACCTACAAATAATTGTTCCAGGTCTGGATGTTTGTCCTTGTGAAATTAATGTATTTAAACTGCCCCAACGATGTACTTAGGAAAAATTCCTATTGCGGAGATAACGTTATGATTAAACAAAGACATGCCATCAAAAACATAACTTGTAAAATAACCAAGTCTCGCAATGATGATACGGCCGTGCCGCTGTTTTGCTCGACTTGGCGGGGGCACTACCGTGCCCCCAGACATAAAACATATGAGCCATGCTTGAGTTGAGTAGCTCAAGGGCGTAGTGCTCGCCGTAAACGCGAACAATCCGGGCTCGATCGCCGCTAGTGTTGCCAGGTGTCCCGATTTGCGCGGGACGTCCCGATTTTCAAGGGTCTAGTGACATGTCCCGATTCACCCTTGATCGGGACGCCAAATGTCCCCATTTTCACTGACATTCTTATTCTATACTTTAATCCATAATTTATATCTGTTAGCTACTACCACATTAAAATATTTTTACTACGACATTGTCTCACTAGTCGAAAAAAAACCACAAAAGTTTTAAACAGAATTATATTAAAATGAGTGATTTGAAAAATTCAAGGACTGCAAAAAAAACAAATAGTTCAAAAATGTTTTAATTTGCTTAAAATGAAAAACAAAATCAGTTTTTACGATGTTTGGATGAAAAGTTATTCGTTTTTGAGATCAGACCCGAATAATAATTATAAAGCACAAAAATAAAGTAAAGTTACAGTCACAATTTTTCACATTACTCGCATATGATATTTACACTTTACAGTTAGCGTTGACCACCTGAGCTACCACGGCTCTCAATAAAGCACAAAAAGGCTACAAAGAAACCTATATTTTGTAGTCATTGTAGTTGTCCGGATATGAAAACCAAATCCAGATTATTTTTACCTTCCGTCCCGAAATTTTACTTGCTAGACCTGGCAACACTACTCCCCGCCGACACTAATGAAATTGTTAGTTTGTGATGAATTATGTTTACATTATGAAACAGAATAAAAGTTTATCAAATGATATATATTTTATACAATACATATTTTTCAATTAGAACATATACATATTATAATATACCTACTCAATAGGGTGAAAATGTAAAGCCGACTTCAATTTACTAAAAGAATAAAACAATTTCCACACATTAGCTTTCGATTTCTATACACTATATAAGCCATTATATGGAAATTATTTTTTTATTATTTTAGTTCCAATAGTATCAAAGACAGGTATATAATCAAAGTTCAAAGTGATTCGTAGTCGTCGTTAGGCAACTAATAGCCTCACGCTCGCCCTGACACGCACACAGAGATAACATTGTAGTGTGAGTCAATATTACGCCGTTCCAAAGCGATCGCGTAGATTTCGACTTGGACATATTTGAATATGCGCTCTTAAAAGCATATATTCAAATTTGCGCAAGTCAAAATCGCTATGGAACGGCGTAATATTGAAGCACACTAAAATGCTCGAGGTGGGGCGAGCGCAGTGGTATCTAGCACGAATCATCTTGATACTATTCAACTAAAAGAATAAAATAGTTTCCACATAATACGAGGGTGGATTGAAAAGTACTCGGCCTAACCAAGAAAATAAACACATACTAAATCAGTTATATTTTTATTTTTCTACATAATCACCATCAAGTTCAATACACTTTTGCCACCTCCCCTTCCAAACATTTAGACCGTTGAAAAAAAATGATTCTTCCTTAGAGACAAAATATGCGTCTACAGCTGCTTTGACCTCGTCGTTTGTCGAAAATCTTTGACCTCCCAAGTGCTTTTTTTAGGTTAGGGAACAGAAAAAAGTCTGATGGTGCCAGATCAGGTGAATACGGCGGATGCGGTAACAGTTCAAAGCCACAGTTGTGAATTTCAGCCATTGACTGTACTGACGTGTGAACACGGGCGTTATCTTGATGAAACAGGACTTTTCTTCTGAGCATTCCTCGACGTTTTTCTTTTATTTCCTCTCGTAAACGACGTAGTAAGGTGCAGTAGTAATCAGAGTTTATAGTCTGACCCCTTTCAAGATAATCAATCATAATCACACCTTTCGAGTCCCAGAATACTGAAGCCATCACCTTATTTGCCGACAAAATCGACTTAGCCTTTTTAGGGGGTGGTGAACCAGGTCTTCTCCACTGTTTTGATTGTTGTTTTGTTTCCGGTGTACAGTAATGAACCCATGTTTCGTCCATAGTAACAAAACGATTCAAAAAATCATCTGCATCGGCTTCAAATAACTCCAAACAGTCGCGTGAAATAGTCAATCGCGTCCTTTTTTGTTCAACTGAAAGCAGTCGCGGAACCCACCTCGCAGACACTTGTGGAAACCCAACTCGTTGACAATGATGTTTTGAGTTCGTTCATAAGAGATGCCTATAATCTCGGCTATCTCTCTAATTTTTAATCTGCGGTCTCCCATTATTAAATCAAGTACTTTTTTAATATTTTCGTCAGTAGTTGACGTCGAAGGCCTTCCAGAGCGGGGTTCATCTTTCACACTCTCTCTACCACGCTTAAATTCTGCTATCCATTTTTTGACGGATGAATATGACAGAGCACAATCGCCTAATGTACTGACCATGTCATCATGGATGGCTTTTGATGATAGCCCCTTCTTATGGAGGTACTTAATGACGGCAGGCTGCTCGATTTGCTCCATTCGCGGAAATTATGTCCGATTACTTTGTTAATAAATTTATAAAATCACAACTAATTATCGCACACGTTTCGAACTTCACATAATGAACTAGTCTGAACTGAACTAAATAATGTGGGTAGATTTGATTTTTAGAATTGAATGGATCTGTGTTAGGCCGAGTACTTTTCAATCCACCTAGGTAGCTTATAAGGTCGGTGCTAAGACACAGTGTATGTAAGAATTAATATCCGATCTAGGCCTGACATCGGAAGCTAATATGTATAAATTATTTTATTCTTTTAGTAAATTTAAGTCGGCTTTTCTTTTTACTCTATTGAGTAGACTAAGGAATATCACAACGCCAAGTTAACAACTGGAAAGGTGTAAGTAATATATGTTAGAATTGAAAATATGTATTGTATAAAACAGATTTCGTTTGATATACATTTATTCTGTTTCATAATATAAAGATAATTCATCAAAATAAAAATTTCATTGGTGTCGGCGGGTATCGAACCCGGGTTGCTCGCATTTACGGCGACCACTTCGCGCTTGAGCTACCATGGCTCATATCTTTTTTGTTTCTATTTTATAATAACGTTACCTCCACACTAAGAATGTTTCCTAAGTATATTGTGGAGGCATAACATAAGAACATAAATTTAACAACGACAAACATCGAGACCTGGAACAATTATTAGTAGGTAAACGTTTTGTGTTAAACTCATTGCTAAGCCACTTCGCCACTCTATTACTATATTTTATAGGGATAAATATTTTAGTTATAAATTGCTTACTATTAAATAAACTTATAAAATTATTAATAAATGAATTAAATAATATCATTTAACAAAGTATCATTCGTTGCGTTGTATTGAGCGAACTATTATTTATTCTGTAGTTGTGCCTTCATCGTTTCTGATAGTGTCCAGGTAAATTCAGGAATTTGGTTTTAAAAACGGGACCGTTACAATAGCTACAAAAAACAGAATATTTTGTAGTGACTGTGGTCGCTATTAGTTATACTGGTTTTTTGACACAATTCGCAATGTGTATTATAATTATTATTTAGAACTGATCAAATGAACGAATAAATGTTCGTCCCAACATCGTTGCAGACTGAACTATCTAAATAATATAATTGTGAAAATAGTATTCAATCTTCTGAACTCACAACTCATGCACTTCAAAAAACTCTTTAAAAACTGCATAATTTAAAGGGTTTTAATACCTAACACCTTGATAGCCTAGATAAAATCCTTGCATCGGACGTATGTTTATTTATTTATTGAAAACAACAGTACCTACAAACGATTGAAGAAATTGACTCGTGGAAGAACTTTTCCACAGGCCGTTTGCATTTTACTAAATGTACTTATCTAAACCGCAGCATGTGAGTTAGATACTGTACTGATAATTAATAATAGAATGAAATAATAAACGACCGTCGAATTAATGACATCGATGCATAGCGCAAGCGATGGCGATAGATACATGATACATTACGAGCAAAGCAAACATGATACATTACGATTAAAGTATTTTTTCCTTTTATTTTAAATTAAAAAAAAAAAAAAACTTTTATTTTAAAAATTAAAAAATAAAATTGGTAACCATACGATCTTGTAAATCTTCGTCTTCTCGATCGATCTTTGTTTTTAAAACTTAACAAAGTCCTAACAAAAACCAGTCATTATAAAAAAGGACTGGTCTAAAAACACTGACATTTTAACTAATATATAGATTAAAACAAACACATAGACATACCGCTCCAAAGGTCTTGGCATTATTACTGTTCTGCTGCGCGTTCCTGAAGGCTTGGCTTTCACGAATCTCTCGCGCCTCCGCAATCATTGTGCTTAGTATACTGGGGTGCTTCGCATTGCCTGGAAATGTTCCCTTTACAATAATTTTAATTTATATATAAAAACCTGTAGCCAATAATAAATACACTGTAATAGAATAGGTACCGTGTAGTGGCGGTGTAGGAATATCCACTACCTAGTGTTGTCCGGTGGGTGGCGCGAGACCCGCAACACCCGCAAGAGGGACAGAGGGAAGAAACAGGCGATTTGTAGCACGAATAGTTCGGCTCCAACAGTATAGGACTAGGGTTGCCAGGTAGTCGGTATTCGTCTGGATTCTCCCGACATTTTAAATGATCACCAGACACCCGACAAAACTCAAAATCTCCAGACAAACAGCTTGCCTTCACATCACAGCCGATTTTGAGTAAACAAAGCTAAATTAGTAATAGACTCAACTTTAAAGTATGTTTGAATTTTAAATATTTTCTGAATACAAATAAAGGATCCAAATTGGTGCACTCAGTAAACTCCAATGCCAAATACATATGGTAACCTAAAAATTAAATGCTAAACATCAATTACTAATGTGTCAACAAGAAAGTTACGTTTTATTCTATTCATTTAAAATATTATTTCACATTTTATTTATAATTTTTTCTCCCGAACCACATACTCATAGAATACCAGAGCGACATAGCAGCTTAATGCTGCTGTGTTTTGGATGGAGAGTGTAGAGAACGGGAGACCCTTTTTACTGGAGACGAGGCATTCCATCTTAGTTCTCAGGTGTGACAACGCATCTGCATTTTTATTCTCAGTTGAGGATAAATGTAGATGTCTATGGGCCACAGCATCCACCTATAATCAGATGGAGTGTGTGCTCGATTGACACCATATTGTATTTTAACCTTATTCCAGCTCATGCCATACCTTGAAGATCACCAACTGCTAAGTCACCGCCAGTATTATTTCCGTCGCGGTCACTCAGCTGGTGATCTTCTGGGTTACCTAACTCAAATGGGCGGAGGCAGTAAAGTCCAAGGGGGTCCGTTGGCCGTTAGTTTGGTTATAGCGAAAGCCTTCGATTGGTTTTGGCACAAAGCACTTCTTACGAAGCTTCTTTCCTATGGGCTTCCCGAAAAATTGTGCAATTGGATCACCAGTTTTCTTGCTGATCGGACCATCAAGATCGTAGTAGACGGTGCATGCTCCTGTGGCCGTGGAAGGAAAAGGGGAGATCTCCCGCCGGGCAAGGTGTTCTGCCCGGGGGAGCGGCTCACACTCCGTGTGATAATTCGGAGATGTTCTATATATACTGTTTATGATTCGGAATGTTGATAGCGCGATTTAGGCTTCGGTGTGTTTTCGCTTGTGGCGGCGACGACAGCGCCGCTACATCACCCCCCTGCTCAGACCGGGGGCGTTAGTGCAGCCTTGTTGCCGACGAATGTGCAAGTGCCAGTGGATTGCCTTGTAGTCTGCGGTGAGTCGAGAAGAAGGCAAGTAATCTGCGAGAGTGCCGTGAAGCAGAGGCGAGCAGTAAAGCTCAGAGCCGTGCCGAACATTGTATAGCGCAGAGAGTAGCTTGAAGGAACAGGAATCATTATTATTCCAATGCTGCGATGAACCTTGTGAAGCTAGATGGCTTGCAGGATATGAAGACTGCAGACGATATCTGCTCGGGAGCGATACGGTGGGGTATTCAATGACGATGATGAAGCTTGAAGTTTCCGAAAGTTGTTGGTTGCGTGTTCAGATCACGTCGGGGTCACCACTGTGGCCGTGGAAGGAAAAGGATGTAGCGGCGCTGTCGTCGCCGCCACACTCCGATTACAAGCCCATTAATGCTGGTGTTCCACAAGGTTGTGCTATCACCGACGCTGTTTCTTCTGCATATCAAAAACATGTTGCAAACCGGTAACATTCATTGCTATGCAGACGACAGCACTGGTGATATTTCTCGGGAAAACGTCGCTGAGTACCGGGACAAACTTGTATCTGAAATCGAAACTTTGTTGAACAAAGTCTCGGACTGGGGGAGACTAAATCTAGTCCAGTTTAATCCCCAGAAGACACAAGTTTGCGCGTTTACCGCTAAAAAAATCCTCTTCGTCGAATCTCTTCAGTTTCAAGGCACTCCGCTTGTTGCCTCAGCCAGTATTGGAATCCTCGGCGGCGACATATCGAGTGACGTGCAGTTTCGTGGTCACTTGGAAGAGAAGGCCAGTGCTCAGCAGAGCGGGACAGTATTTCATGCCGGCACACTGCCTGCAACTTTACAAGACGCAGGTTCAGCCGCACATGGAATACCGTTCCCATCTCTGGGCCGGGGCTCTCCATTGCCCGCTCCTTCTTTTTGATCGCATCCAGCGCAGAGTTGTTCGAATCGTCAGCGACCGAGCTCTTTCCGATCGGCTTGCCTCACTGGTACTGCGAAGAGATGTGGCATCTCTTTGCGTATTTTATCGCATCTACCACGGGGAGTACTCCGAGGAATTGTTCGTACTAATACCAGCCGCAAAATTTCACCATCGCACATCGCGACAAAACTTACGATCTCAACCATACTATCTGGATGACTGACGATCCACCACCGTGCGATTTAAAAGAAGTTTTCTTCCTCGCACAACTTTTTTATGGAATCGACTACCATCAGAGATTTTCGAAAAAAGAGAGAAGAGCCTATCCTTTTTAAAAGGCCGGCAATGCATCTGCAATTCCGCTGGTGTTGCCGTTGTTCATGGGCGGCGGTAATCACTTACCATCAGGTGAGCCGCATGCTCCTTTACCCCCTCTCCTATTAATTAAAAAAAAACACAGATTTCCTCACTATATATTTTCATATACCGCCCGTGTGGTATATGAGTCTTAAAAATTACAATGAAGAATTTCATTGGTGCTGGCGGAGATTAAACCCGGGTTGATCGAATACTGTAAAATTTATGACCAGTGCTTAGCCCTTGAGGTACCACAGTTATATTTTATGTACTCAGCGCTGCCTGATGAACTTTTTTGTTCTCTCTCTCTCTCTCTCTCTCTCTCACACACACACACACACACACACACACACACACACACACACACACACACACACACACACACACACACACACACACACACACACACACACACACACACACACACACACACACACACACACACACACTGACTCTGAACCTAACTGATTTATTTTGTTCACTGAGACTGTTAGGTCGTTACAGACATGTTGTATTTTAAACGAGCTGTAAGTTAACACGTTGACACGACTTAGCCAGGACCCCTGACAGCTTAAACCTCAACAATCAATTAACTGTTGAATTAGTTATTGCCTACGATACATTACTTTTGTATCGAGCAGTAAGAAATTCACCTCATAATCAAGCTCAAGTCTTTCATTAATTTGAATCATAATAAAAAATTATTCTTTTGGTTCTACCAGCCGAATCACTTGTTTGGCCGAGCCTTTGTTAAAATCCCACATGAACTATTAAAAAAACTACACAGTAATTAGAGAATCACACTTACCTATAAATTCGTGTGTCAACAGGTACTCAGCTGTGGCCCTCTCTTCAGGGTTTTTGACGAGGCATTGGCTCACAAAGTCTATGAACTCCGGGGACCATTGGTCGGGCTCTCTATAAACAACACGAGTACAATAAATTATTATATTAACTAATTGAAATAAAATACTCAGTTATAAAAAAAAAGATTTTAATAAATGGGTTTTTTCTATGTCGACAATTTTTTTATAGGATAGGGTGACAAACGAGCACATAAATGATGCTGTGGCCCATAGACATCTACATCTATGTTCGATTGGTATTTGGAGTGGTAAATGAAAAAAGTGACTTTTAATAAGTATTGTTATAATCTACATTGAATAAAAAAATTTCTTTTTCTGTTTCTGATTACGAATCAAAATGCAGATGCGTTGTCACCCGTGAGGACTAAGATGGAATACCTCGTTTCCAATAAAAAGTTCTCTGGTTCTCCATACTCACCTTACGAAACACAGCAGCATTAAGCTACTATTCACTACAATTCTGTTGGAGCGTGGTCCTTCCCCAGTCGAGCCGACCCATTCGTGCTACAAGTATACTTCTAATATAACTGCAGCATGGCTCTACCACGTATAAATTATACATAATATAAATAATAATGTAAGGTCCCAAAACAGACTTCGTTACAATGTAAAAGTAACTTTCACATAAGATGTGGATGATAAAATTTAGTAACCTTTCCTTTCTTTAATGGCCTGAACCCTATCTACAGTGTAGAGTGCTTAATAAATATTTATTTATAGAAAAAGGATGACAAGCGAGCACTCAGTCCACCTGATGGTAAGAGGATGCTGTGGCCCATAGACATCTACATTTAACCTCGATTAAGAATCCAAATTGCAGATACGTTGTCAACCCTGAGGACTAATAAGGAATGCCTCGAAATCAGTAAAACAAGTCTCCGGTTCTATACACTCATCATACGAAACACAACAGCATTAAGCTGCTATTTTACTTTGGTATTCAAATAAATGTATATAATTATATAATAAATAAATGTATATAATTAAATATTATTTCAAAAACTTACGACAGTTTTAAGTAGTTTCATCTGTTGTTATCATCAATTGCGTAAATAGTTAAAACATGAATAGTTTATAAGAAAAAAAGTATGTTTACATTAACTTTATAAATTATATGATGGAATCGGGAATAAAAGAGTATCGACTCTAGAAGAAGTAAGAGTAATTAAAACTCGAATATTACTAGGACTGACGACATCACGTTGTAACGTGCGCTTGTATCTTGCTTTTGGCTCCACCTCCTGTGGTTCAATGATCAAGATGCTACGACAACTTTTATTTATTCTCAGCAGTTTAGACGGTTAAAGCCATCTACGGTCCAAACCCAAAACTATTTACAAGGGTACAGGTTCTATGACGATAAGCTAGTACTCGAATGCAATCCTAATCCCTGGCGCCTGATGGTAAGTGACGATGAAGCCCTGGATGTTTTATCGCACAGTCTTAGCTTTTGACAAATGTCTATTCGCTCTTGCTCTTCTCGTCTCTTCGCTCTAGACACCTCCAGATTATAATCGCACGGTAAGACAGACGCCTGTAAATACGAGGGTGGATTGAAAAGTACTCGGCCTAACACAGATCCATTCAATTCTAAAAGTCAAATCTACCCACATTATTTAGTTCAGTTCAGACTAGTTCATTGTGTGAAGTTCGAAACGTGTGCGATAATTAGTTGTGATTTTATAAATTTATTAACAAAGTAATCGGACATAATTTCCGCGAATGGAGCAAATCGAGCAGCGTGCCGTCATTAAGTACCTCCATAAGAAGGGGCTATCATCAAAAGCCATCCATCATGACATGGTCAGTACATTAGGCGATTGTGCTCTGTCATATTCATCCGTCAAAAAATGGATAGCAGAATTTAAGCGTGGTAGAGAGAGTGTGAAAGATGAACCCCGCTCTGGAAGGCCTTCGACGTCAACTACTGACGAAAATGTTAAAAAAGTACTTGATTTAATAATGGGAGACCGCAGATTAAAAATTAGAGAGATAGCCGAGATTATAGGCATCTCTTATGAACGAACTCAAAACATCATTATCAACGAGTTGGGTTTCCACAAGGTGTCTGCGAGGTGGGTTCCGCTACAGCTTTCAGTTGAACAAAAAAGGACGCGATTGACTATTTCACGCGACTGTTTGGAGTTATTTGAAGCCGATGCAGATGATTTTTTGAATCGTTTTGTTACTATGGACGAAACATGGGTTCATTACTGTACACCGGAAACAAAACAACAATCAAAACAGTGGAGAAGACCTGGTTCACCACCCCCTAAAAAGGCTAAGTCGATTTTGTCGGTAAATAAGGTGATGGCTTCAGTATTCTGGGACTCGAAAGGTGTGATTATGATTGATTATCTTGAAAGGGGTCAGACTATAAACTCTGATTACTACTGCACCTTACTACGTCGTTTACGAGAGGAAATAAAAGAAAACGTCGAGGAATGCTCAGAAGAAAAATCCTGTTTCATCAAGATAACGCACGTGTTCACACGTCAGTACAGTCAATGGCTGAAATTCACAACTGTGGCTTTGAACTGTTACCGCATCCGCCGTATTCACCTGATCTGGCACCATCAGACTTCTTTCTGTTCCCTAACCTAAAAAAGCACTTGGGAGGTCAAAGATTTTCGACAAACGACGAGGTCAAAGCAGCTGCAGACGCATATTTTGACTCTAAGGAAGAATCATTTTTTTTCAACGATCTAAATGCTTGGAAGGGGAGGTGGCAAAAGTGTATTGAACTTGATGGTGATTATGTAGAAAAATAAAAATATAACTGATTTAGTATGTGTTTATTTTCTTGGTTAGGCCGAAGATTCCTTAAGGCTGGGGTCCCCACAAGGCTCCGTCCTGTCTCTACTCCTCTTTCCACTCTTTACGAGTGATATCCCTAAGGAGCCAGTGGTAAGCAATGCTCTCTTCGCCGACGATACGGCGCCCTTTGTATCTTACTATAATAGAAATAGTTCCAAATTGAAAAAAAACTGATCTCTTATGGAGAATCGTAGTAAATCCCGAAGAACTCTAGCACCCACCGTTGTGCTCCGTATGAATGGTGGGAGAGCCAAAATAATACCAAGCTGTGAGGCATTTTATCTTAGTCCTCAGAAGTAACAACGCATATTATGTCGCCTTTGTTCACATTGTCCATTGCTCTGTAGTAGCTATATACCCCCTTACGGGAAGTGTTAACTTGTTTATCACCATTAATATAAAAAGTGCCGCTGGGTTTCATGCTAAATCTTCCCAGGCCAACAGTGGCGAAGCTTCCATTAAAGCCAAAAAGCCGGGCTTGCCTTATTAAAACTGAATCAATCAATAATATCAACTAATAAAATAACTCCTAAACTGTTTCAAATTATTTCAATTTTCCCGCGCACTCCACTGTTCGACACATGTCGACCGATGACCTCGTATTGCCTTAGCGACACGTTTATACAAAGGTACTCTGTGGCGATACTGCTGCTGTCATAAAGTGAGTTTTAATAGAGCGATTAGTTGTCTCCCTCATTCGCGTGGGCTTTTTACGGGGCTTTTGAGAAGACGATCGCTCTCTTTCTAACCTATGGCAAAATATTCTATAATGAATTATAACTACGAAATGTTTATATAGCAATTACTATTGAGCCAACAAGCCTGGCTTTGCCATAATGTTGTTTAGGAGTGCGTTAGCGACTAGCGAAGTGGTTGCGGGCCCCTCGTATGCAAGTTCACTTCACATTTCAATGTTTATGTTTGTTTTTGTTGTGTTTGTTAAAAAATTATGCTTTTTCGAAGATTTTCAGTGAAAATGGGAGGATAATAGTGTTCACTGTGATGAATATAAGTGTGTTGAAGTGCTAATCGGCGAAGAAAAGGTAAAAATCTTTAAAAATGAAATTTAATATTCAATAAACATTTCTTCATACTTTAAATATAGGTACAGGACTCTTTAGTATTAAAGTTTAATTAAGTTAGGCGTATTTAAAGGTTTAATAACTCAATATTAATATTACCATACGAATTAAAAATATCAATTTGAACAGCAGCATAAAGTATGAGACCTAGGTTTAATTTTAGAGGAAATAAGTGTTACAATCTTTTTTTAACGTGAAGTCCAAATTTTAATTAAATAAATCAAAAGAATACAGAAGAATGTATTGAGGTTTTTAAAGAATAGTACTCCCTTTAGTTATTTCCAGTTAGGTTTCTCTGTCTACTTTTCAGTATATAAAATTTTAATGGCGCCATCTACTTAATTCTATAGGTGACGTCATTTTATCGAACGAAAATTGGTTGATTCTCACGATGGTACCTAAAGATTACGCTAGATGGCACAAATACGCGATTATGCTAAATAGCTAATTTATAGTGATATATGTGTTTAAAAATATCATTTTGTACGGTTTATTATGAATTGAAAATGAATAATTATAATAAATAGTCATTATTTTATGGTAAAAAATTAGCAAAGCTTTATCTTCTCATTATAACTATCTAATTCCTGTCGTAATCTGTTCTTTTATGCATATAACTTAAACAAAATATAATTTCGAGGTTTCACATCTGCCAGGCGTCCCTTTTTTTAACTTTGTACATAGCTTGTTTGTACTTTGTCCGTGTATTTGTATTGTTTGTAAATATCTCAAGCAAACCCAAACGGCTCTTTTCAAAACCACCGAAGGTGTGCAATTGCATATTATGTCATACAATCTATCTAGCGGTAGTATGCTTTCTGTGTGCTTTGTTAAACACGTTCTTGTCAGCACTGAATATGAAACTAAAGAGTGGAGACAGCTCAAGACTGGTGTATTTTTATTAAACTGCTAAAAGCAACAAAACCATATCTTGGGCTTGCCCTAATTTGGAGCCCTAGTTTCGCCACTGCAGGCCAAAGGTTTTTTCTGACCAGTGGTAAAAGCACAAATGACTTTTCTATCTATTTTATGTATATGAAATTCAATTGCAGAATGTATGAAAGATCATCACTTGAGCACGGCTAAATCGGTTTTGAATTTTGATGAAATGGTTTGTATGTGTTGTTTTATACGTGGTAGAGCCACGCTGCAGCTATATTATGGTTTTAGCACGAATGTGTCGACTCGACCGGGGAAGGACTACGCTCTCACAGAATACCAACGTAAAATAGCAGCTTAACTGTGTGCTCTTTTGTTACCCCTATTCTATTGAAAAAAAAACGTTTGAGTTGGTGCTGGTTTAGATTAACCATTTGACCTGATAGTTGTACGCTGTTGTCGGAGTCCAGAAATTACCCTTACGAAGCCGGGGCGGATTACTAGTATTAAATGAAAATGTTTCTATCCTATTAGGAACAGTTCTAGGAGCAGACAATGGTAACCCACCTGAAGGAGGGCGGCGGCTTGGTAGGGATCATGAAGATGGCGCGCATTGGGTGTATGTCGCCGTAGGGGGGCTTGCCCTCCGCCATCTCCAGTGCGGTGATGCCCAGCGACCAGATGTCAGCCACGCAGTCGTAGCCGATCTCCTGGATCACCTCGGGCGCCATCCAGAACGGGGTGCCGATCACCGTGTTGCGCTTCGCCATCGTGTCCTTTCAGAGCCATATGTAAAATTTAAAAAGGAAAAAAAATTACATCGAAATTATAAGCAATGGTGAAAAACGCTCAATAGTGTCTGGAGGCCTTAGAGTATAGATAAGCTACGCTCAAAGGAGTCTTGACGCCTTAGAGTACAACTTGGTCAAAACAAATAGACGCACGACGGGAATGCGGTTTCGGCGCCCGCACTCTGCCTCTATCCCCACGCTTACCCTAGTGACTAATCACTGTTCCGGTGTTCCCACCCCAGTTCTAATGAAGTATTAGCTGTCATGCACCTAATTGTTTTTTAAACGTTTTATGTATACTCTAAGGCACAATACATCGTTATCGTGTCGGCCAATGAAAAACGCTCTAGCGCCGGCACTGCTAGTGTAACTCATATTAGAATTATACAAACCAAATGTAAAATATATTTATATTTATTAAAACTCGAGGTCTATGTTCAGCAGTGGGCGTTTGATTGATAGTAATGAATGAATATATTTAATTAAAACTTTCAACTTACCGTCAACTGTCCCGCTACACCAAAATCGGCCAGTTTAGCGTGACCTTCTGTATTGAGCAATATGTTCCCGGCCTTGATGTCCCTGTGGATCTTTCTCCGCCGGTGCAGGTACTCCAGGCCTTTGAGCGTATCTATAAGAATCGTCGCGATCTCGTCTTCCGATAGTGTCTTCTTCCTTAACCTCATTATATCTGACACTGAGCCCGCACCACAGTATTCCATTACAATCTTAAAACAAAAACAAAAAAAAACGTTTGACGTTTTCATCTACTCTTTTCACTGTAAACCTTTTTTATTAAAAGGTTAATTAATCGTACATCATTACGCTCGGCAGCAGATTTTTTTATAAAATGAGGAAGATAAACAAGCACACAGCCCACATGATGATAAGTGCACGCAGTGGCCCACAGATGTCTACGTTTATCCTCGATTAAATATCAAAATGCAGATGCTTTGTCACCCTTGATGACTAAGATGTAATATCTCGTTTCCAGTAGCATTGAACTGCTATTTTACGCTGGTATTCTGTGAGACCGTGGTCCTGCCCCGGTTGAGCCGACCCATTCGTGCTACAATCATAATATAGCTGCAGCGTGGCTCTACCACGTAATGATTGTCGATGGCAGTATCAGGTACCGCACAGTTTTGACGTTGCTGACGTCCCTATCATTGGTCTTTTACATACATAAACACTCAAGCCCGTCATCCATAGGGGTAGACAGAGACTATGAACTTTCATTTGGCACGATCCTGACACAGCTTTCTTGCTTCCTTTACAGAGGTTTTCTTCACGTAGATTCTACGATCTAATTCTGAAGCTTAATAGCTTTAAAGTAGTGGAATAAAGCGCTAGCTAAAGCTTTTTTTTTGTAGGAGAGGGGGCAAACGACATGCGGCTCACCTGATGATACCGCCGCCCATGATCAACCGCAACACCAGGTGAATTGCAGGTGCGTTGCCGACGAAGTCAAAAAAGCTAAGGTTTATCTATTCATTTAAGACTTACTTAAAGTTTTTTTAAGCTATTGCATAGCTTCTATCGCGGGCCTTGAGCGCGGGGACCGAATCCAGAAATTCCGTAACGAAAAAAAACCTCACGCTCCCCACTCCAACGGGCACGGAGGTGTGGCGTTGAAAGCTGTGCATCGTCTAACGTCGTTTTAGTTCGGCAGACTTCGGCACGGTGTTTGTGTGCGTGTACACTAGCTGCTAACTCAATGATAAAAATTCCTGAATAATCTACATGTATTGTAAGATATTAAAAATATTTTAAACAATATTAACTTCTCATTTATTCAATAAGAGAAAAAAATTGTTTTCTTATCGGTCACCACGCTCAAAAAGTGTAACTTGATTTAATATCAAAGTCTTAACTGCATAAATAAAATAAATAAATAATTATAATTGCATAAGTTGATAAAAAATGCTATGCAATAGCTTTACCGCGGCAGTCACCGAGTGCCACACGTATTTTTATTTTTATATGATAAGGGTGACAATATGAGCACACAGTCCACCTAATGGTAAATGTCTGCTGCGGTTCATAGACATACACATCCATCCTCGACCAAGAATCAAAACGCAGATGCGTTGTCACCCATGAGGACCAACACGGAATGTCTCATTTCCAGTGGAAAATGACTCCGGTTCTTTACACTCACCTTACAAAACACAGCAACATTGAGCTGCTATTTTACGCTGGTATTCTGAGCGCCGTCCTTCCCCGGTCGAGTCGATCCATTCGTGTTACAACCATAAAATAGCTGCAGAATGGCGTTTATATATATCCTGCGTAATTATATATCCAACAGTAATCGAAGTATGTCGTCGTAGTCGAAAATCGAACTTACATAAAATAGATAATCGCTTACTCAAATTATGTTTTTTTTTACAGGGGAGGGTACAAACGAGCACACGGCTCACCTGATGGTAAGTGACTACCGCCGCCCATGAGCAGCTGCAACACCAGGGGAATTGCAGATGCGTTGCCGGCCGTTTAAAAAGGAGTAGGCTCTTTTCTTGAAGATCTCTAAGTCGTATGGGTCGAGAAAAATCTCTGGTGGTAGTAGATTCCACAAGGAAGTTGTGCGAGGAAGAACGCTTCTTATAAATCGTACAGTGGTGGACCGCCAGTCCTCCAGATGGTATGGATGGTATCGCGAGTACGGCCGCGATGTGCGATGGTTAAATTGTGCGGCTGAAATTACTTTGAACAATTCCTCAGAGCACTCCCCGTGATAAATGCGATAAAATACAGCATACAGATAGTGCCAGTGTGTCCGATGGGAAAGGGCTCGGTCGCCGACTTGTGTCTTGTGTCCGTCAATGTTGATCTTAAAGTTTTTACTCAAAGTAGTAATGAGACTTATAAACTGTGTGCTTAGTTACCCATAGGTCCGTGTTTTTGAAGTAACTGCCGTAGTATTTGACTACGTAGGGGCTGTCGCACTGTTGCATGATGGAGATCTCCTTGATGATCTCCTGCAGGTCCGTGTCCACCGGCACTTGCTTGATCGCGAGCACCTGCCCGCTCTCTTTGTGTAGTGCCTGAAAGGGGAAATAAAATATTGTATGACGCATAATTGCTTTATGTCTAGATCTATACACATAAATTTTGCATGATATTAAGACATAAGCTACTTTTAAAAATTTCATTCTTTATGTCCGGGTTGAACCGATTGTGGGGGCATGTTAGTCTAAAATAAGGATATTATCATAAAATATTATTCTATAAAGAATAAAATTAGAATATGAAAGTGCTAGAGCCATGCCGCAGCTGTGTCATAACTGGAGCATTTTTTTATAGGATAGGGTGACAAACGAGCACACAGTCCACCTGATGGTAAATGGTTGCTGTAGCCCATAGACATTTACATCTATCCTCGATTACGAATCAAAATGCATATGCGTTGTCACCCGTGAGAACTAAGATGGAATGCCTCGTTTCCAGCAAAAAGGGTCTCCGGGTGTCTACCTTCACCATACGAAACACAGCAGCATTAAGTTATTACGCTGGTATTCTGTGAGAGCGTGGTCCTGTCCCAGTCGAGCCGACCCATTCGTGCTACAACTATACTACTAATATAACTACAGCATGGCTCTACCACGTAGAGCATGGAGAGCAGGTTTGATTGCAGAAGGATCGCATTTTCAGAGCAACAGCATTAAATAGCAGCATAATGATTATATTTCCCATTTTCTTCCCCGCACGACTTCTTTTTATAATCGTTTACAACCGGCGATTTTTCCGGACCGATACGACTTAAAGATCTACAAGAAACGAGCTTACTCCTCTTCAAAAGACCCGCAACGCACCTGCAATACCCCTGGTGTTGCAGTTATTCATGTGTGGCGGTCGACACTTTACCATCAGGTGATCCGCATGCCCCCTCTTCTATAAAAATATGAGCCGGAGACCGATTTTTACGGATAACCAGTCATTTCATTTTAGTTCTCTCCTCGTGGGTGACAATAACGAATCTGCACTTAAATTTTTAATGGAGTATAGACGGAGAATAATCACCTACATACCATCAAGTGGATTGTATGCTTGTTTGTCAACCTTTTACGAGCATATTTAAAAATGGCAATGGCAATCGACACAACAATGTTACAAAACCCCGACTGAAACACGTGTATGTGTCATAAGTATGAAAATGATGTTGAAACTTCTCAAAACAAATAATATATTCCACATACCTTGTATACGCTGCCATATGATCCCTCGCCAAGCTTACAGATGATATCAAACACCTCCTCGGGCTGCCGCGTGAGACTTTCTTCCGATAGCTTCTTCAACTCACTGAAAGAACAAAGAACTTAGAGTTACTACAAACCACGAACGGTTGACAGACACTTCCTTGTATAACAGTTAAAGTTACATCCTATATATGTTCCACTGCTGGGCACAGGCAATAAAGGAATGTCAGCCGCGCTGTCCTAATGCGCGTCGGCGTACTTCACATGTTTCCTAAATATTTTTCTCAGACATACAGGCTCCCTCACGATGTTTTCCTTCACCGCCGAGTAGTAAATCAGGAATTAAAATTGTAATTAACAATTTCATTGGTGCCGGCGGGAATCGAACTCGGGTTGCTCGCGTACTGCGAAATTTACAACGAGCGCTTAGCCCCTGATTCACCACGGCTCTGTATATATCATCATCATCATTACAGCCCTTCACAAGTCCACTGCTGAACATAGGCCGCCCCCAAGCAATGCCACAAAGCACGGTCCTGAGCCACCTGCATCCATCGACTTCCTACATGTCTTACAAGGTCGTCACTCCATCTAGTGGGGGGTCGCTCTACACTACGCCTACCGGTACGAGGCTGCCACTCGAGAACCTTTCTTCCCCATCGGTTATCGGTTCTTCGAGCTATATGGCCGGCCCATTGCCACTTCAGCTTACTAATCCGTTGTGCTATGTCGGTCACTCTGGTTTTACTGCGGATATCCTCATTTCTGAGTCTATCACGCAGAGAAACTCCGAGCATAGCCCTCTCCATAGCTCTCTGAGCGACCTTGAGCGTCCTCATACGGCTAGCAGTGAAGGACCACGTCTCTGATCCGTAAGTCATCACTGGCAACACGCACTGGTTGTACACTTTAGTTTTCAGAGATTGAGGTATACCTAACGAGAAGATGTGTCGTAATTTCCCGAACACTGCCCAGCCGAGTTGAATCCGTCGATTGACCTCTCGGTCGAAGTTGGACTTACCTAGTCGGACTATTTGTCCCAGGTAAACGTACTCGTCAACAACTTCGAGCATAGTGCTCCCAACAACTACCGGCATAGGTGTGACATGGACATTAAACATGATCTTTGTTTTGTCCACGTTCATCTTAAGACCTATCCGTTGGGAGACACCATTGAGGTCATTGAGCATAGTACTAAGATTCTCCAGCGATTCTGCCATAAGGACTATATCGTCGGCAAATCGTAGGTGAGTGATGTACTCGCCATTGATGTTAATACCGTATCCTTTCCAGTCCAGTAGCTTGAAAACGTCTTCCAACGCAGCGGTGAAGAGTTTCGGGGATATAACGTCACCCCGTCTTACACCTCTCTGCAGTTGGATAGGTTTCGAACTCTGGTTCTGTACTCGGATAGCCATCGTAGCCCTACTGTACAAACACTTCAGCACTTCGATATACCGACAGTCAACTTGACACCGCTGAAGGGACTGTAGCACCGCCCAAATTTCGACGGAATCAAAGGCTTTCTCATAGTCCACATACGCCAGGCAAAGTGGCAGATTGTACTCTTCGGTCTTCTGTACAATCTGCCGCAGGGTATGTATGTGGTCTATGGTACTGAAGCCTTTTCGGAAACCGGCTTGTTCGGGAGGCTGGAAGTTGTCGAGTCTGCGTGCGAGACGATTCTTAATGACTCTCGAAAACAGCACGTAGACGCGGCTCAGAAGGGAAATCGGTCTGTAGTTCTTCAAGAGAGCGTTGTCGCCTTTCTTAAAGAACAAGACCACCGCACTTCTGCTCCACGCCTCCGGAGTAGTGCCACCATGGAGGACGGAATTGAAGAGCTTCTGAAGGACTTCAAGTACCGGTGTTCCACCCGCTTTCAGAAGCTCCGTTGTAATTCCATCCTCGCCTGGGGCCCTGCCGTTTTTAAGGTGCTGGAGAGCCATTCTAATCTCGCTCAGACTGACGTCCGGGATATCATCAGAATAGTGTCGGGTAAGACTTGCTCTTTGGATCGTTACTCACACTTGCGTGTGGCTCCAACGATGATGTGTACAGCTGCCCATAGAACCTCTCAATCTCACTCAAAATCTCAGGTGTCTCGGAAACGATGCTGCCACACTCAGTCTTCAGCTTTGACAGTTGGCTCTTTCTGGCAGACAGATCTCTGGCAAAGGCTTTGGAGCCCTGGTTCCCCTCGATCGCTTCTTTAATACAAGCAGTATTAAAGTTGCGTAAGTCTCGCCGCATGCATTTGGAGATCTGTCTGTTCAGTTGCCTGTATGCTGTCAAATCTGTTGACGATTGCAGCCTCATCTCCCGTCTAACAGCCATAAGATTAAGAGTGTGAGCGGAGAGTTTTTGTGTTCTTCTGCGGCGGGTCTTGAAGAACTTAGCCCCAACCGCACGGACAGTTTTCACGAGCTTGTCATTCATATCGTCCACAGCATTGCAATCTTCTAGGCACTGAAAGCGGTTACGTAACTCGAGCTGAAGTCTCGGGATTCTGGATCAGAGCACGAGGGGGACGAAGCGTTGACTTCATTAGACGAGACCTCTCCAACTTAACGTTAAGGTTCAGTGTGACTCTAACCATTCGGTGATCGCTGTCGGTTTTCACCCTTGCGATCACTGAGACACCACTGAACAGTTGGCGTCTGGTCGTCATAATGAAGTCAATCTCATTTTTTGTCGAACCGTCGGTGCTCGACCAGGTCCACTTCCTGTGGGGCCGCTTCTGGAAGAAAGAGTTCATCATAAAGAGTCCCTCTTTCTCCATAAAGTCAGCCAGCTGCTGGCCCCTACGGTTCCGTTGCCCTACTCCAAATTTCCCTAACTTCAGCTCACCGCCTTCTCTTGTGCCTAGTTTTGCGTTGAAGTGCTGTATATATGTATAACACATAATATATTAGTGACAATTTAGTTTACATGCAAAATGACGACAAAAGACACTGCAACCTATGAGCAGGTGCAGCTACTACAGAGAATTCTGCAGATGCGTTGTTGCCTATAACAACACATGATAACCCGAAAGTCTACTGGCTTTATTGTGACTGATCTGTACAAAACCACCGATTATTTTTATAACAAGCACACATACGCGATGTGATGGTAATTGAATGTTCAAGAAGGTCCATAGACGCATAAATATATTCTCAATTAAAAATCGAAATATATTAAAATGTAATGCCTTACTATCAGAAACAGGTGTTTCCGGTTCTCGACACTCGCCCCACGAAAAATTGCAGCATTATACGGCTATTTCACGCTGAAACTGTGAACGAGCGTGGTTCTTCCCCGGTTGAACCAACCTATCTGTGTTGCAGCCATAAAACAGTTGCAGCGTGGATCTACCACGTACCAGGTGGTGCAGTGCTGCTTTAGTGGTAGAAATTGGTAGGAGGAATAGCTAGGTGAACTCTCTCTATATTCTTTGTGGCAGTGACACTTAGTTAAAATTTTAATTATAGTTTATACAATATATTTTAGTTTAGGTAGATGGCGCCAAAATAGGTGCTAAGTGGCTAGCGACATGTATTATTTAGGTCCGTTGTGACACTTTTAGTTGTTTAAGGTTTCAATTGCTGATTTACCACATGTCCGACGTTGGAGGAAAACATCGTAAGAAAATTTGCATGGTTGTTTGTAATATAGAATAGGGTGATAAACGAGCACACATTCCACCTGACGGTAAGTGGATGCTGTAGTCCATAGACATCTACATTTATCCTCGATTAAGAATCAAAATGCAGATGCGTTATCACTCGTGGGGACTAAGATGGAATGCCTTGTTTCCAGTAATAAGAGTCTCCGGTTCTCTACACTCACTTTACGAAACACAGCAGCATTGAGCTAATGGGTGCGTTTGGCAGAAAAAAGGGCTAGCAAGCGCTTGTAAGCAAAATGGCGAAATTAAACAGTTTTCGGCCAGGACACGTTTGCTAACTTCAATCGCTGACACAACCGCCATTTTGCTTAAATGTTTGTTTTGAAGTAGAGTATAAGTTGTTTTGTGCAAATTAGTTTAAGAATGACATGAATAACATATACCTACATGTTATTAAAAATCATGATTGGTAAGTTTTTAATATGAATAATTTACAAACATGTATAAATTAAGTAGGTCCCCGGTTAAAACTAACCTCGTGTCCTGAGGAAAATAGCTACGATTTGACAGCCTTATGCAATCGTCATTTTGCTTACAAGCGCTTGCTAGCGCTTTTCTGCCAAACGCTCCCACATTTTACGTCGTATTCTGTGAGACGTGTCCTACCCCGCAGAGCCGACTCATCATACAGAGAGAGAGAGAGAGCGTATGGTACATATTCGTTACTAGGACTCCTAGGACATAAAGGAACCCTACCACCCAGGTAATATGTAAGTAATAAGTGGTAAAATTAAACATTTTGTACAACCGATTACAATATAAATAAAATAATTTATTGTTTGGTTTTTTTTTAAAAACCGCTCGACCGACTTTGATAAAATTTAAAATTTAAAATGGGGCCCTCTGGGAAACAAAGAAAGAATTTTCCAAAGCAGTTCGGCCGTCTTCGAGTAATCGGTGAAAATACATTAAAAAAAGGATTTCGACGTATTGAGAATCTCCTTTTTTGAAGTCGGTTGAAAAGTAACGGTAGTACAACTACTATCGATTAACGTGAGAATTAAACAAATAAAGCTGCAGCTAACACATTTTCTACGCAAAATGTAAAATAAAAAAAACTTGCGAATGTAAACATTTTTGAAATAAGTATAAATGAGTTATTATTTTTATAGATTTATTATTTTTATGCGTGGTAGAGCTATGCTGCAGTTATATTAGTAGTATATAGTTGTAGCACGAATGGGTCGGCTCGACCGGGGAAGGACCACGCTCTCACAGAATACCAGCGTGAAATAGTAGCTTAATGCTGCTGTGTTTCGTATCGTGAGTGTAGAGAACCGGACGCTTTTTAATGGAAACGAGGCAGTCCATCTCAGTCCTCACGGGTGACAACGCATCTGCATTTTGATTCGTAATCGAGGATAGATTGTGTGATGTCTATGAGCCACAGCAACCACACTTACCATCAGGTGGGCTCGTTTGTCACCCTATCCTATAAAAAAATAGAATCTATTATTGTATAAGTCCGACCCGGAATCTTTAAAAAAACGTAACCTCCGCACTAACTTTTTCTCCTGTATCGCGGGGGCACTTTTCATACTTAAATTTCACACGGACAAATATCCTTCGAATCTGGTCAAGAACCAAGTTAATCGCACACACACAAAATTTGATCCAAATCGGTTCGACCTTTTAGGAGGAGTTCAATCACATACACACGGACAGAAGAATTATAGTAAGGGTTACTACGAGTAAGTTTATTTTATTGATACAACCGTCATTTTTAATTTATTTACGTTGTTATTTATCCTATTAAATAACTTTAACTAAGGTAAATCATCTTATAAATTTAAAATTAACCGAATATTAAAGTGTACTGAACTATTACGTCAACATAATAAAACAAAAGTGATTACAATCAATAAACGGGGTTCAGTGTCCTCTTATCGAGCCGCGTGGGTCGCACTGACCAAGCAGTTTTTATGTCTTCCGTTTGACAAACTATCCGTATCTTTTAGAACATAAATGTTAACGTAATAAACATACCATAATGTGGTAAACATCCTTAACTAAAATAATTTTGGTTGAGGATATGCCACTCGTTCTACTTCTTTGGTCAATGTTACATCAAAGATTTGTAAACATTTCGACAACCACCTCAGAATAGTTTCAATTCTTTTAGGTTTTTCACAAAACTTTCTTCTACCTTTTTATTTCCTTTTCTTTTCATGACAAAATAACGAGATAGGCTAAGACTTTTGCCACACCATCTGCAATTTTTGTCACCCGAAGTATTGACTTCCATTCAGACGTGAACTCTTAAAAGAAGAGAAACTAGCTAATGACTATGCTTCGTCATATATAAGAATGACAAGCTCGCACACAGTCCACCTGATAATAAGCGGATTCTGTGGCCCGTAGACACACTACTCTATCCTTAATTAAGAAGCAGATGCTTTGGCACCCCAGAGGAGTAATACCTACACTCCCCTACACTTCCCTACACTCACCATACGAAACACAACAGCATCAAGCTGTACTTTACATTGGTATTCTGTAGGAATGTGGCTCTACCACGTATAAAACTCTGCATTCATTAACTACCCTTTAATTCTTCTTCATCAGCAAATAAACTTCTACTGATGCGCCTCTCCCGTTATAGATGCGATTTGTTATAATCGTTACGTCGGGTTGGTTGAATACTCAAAGCGTCGGGCGGACTAACGATTATATCAAGTAATGTGCAGTGTAAGCAAAGCGCCGAACACCACGGGGTTGTAGCTGGTAGGAGTCCGGCACAACCTGTTTATCTCCCCGCGGAAGGCAGGTAGCCATAAAGATTTGCCCACGCACAAAACAAACAATTGACGTTGCCGTCACCTTTTTACCTATTTCCGCAAAGCAGCAGTGCGTGCACTGGTTATGGAGAACAGGCTGTGAATTCGCGTTTGTCTCTTCAACTTAACAAAAAGAAGTAGCTGAAGCCTTATGATCTTTCTAGCATTTCCGTGACCGTATCTTTAGACTTACACTCACGAGACGAGGCGGCAAAAACCGCATATTAATCATTCGCAAATGTTAGAGAATCATCTTTATTTACATACCACCCGGCCAGCACAGATTTATAGGATGTTGGTCGGCCAGTTGGTCGAATTTTGATAGACTCTCGAAAGAGAACTTTTTGTACGAGTTGTGTTACAAATATCCTTTAAATATATTAGGAAGCCTATTAAAAATAAGTTAGTTAGTAAATAAGTTGAGAGATTCATTTCTATGAAAAGCGTATATATAGCAAAGTAAAGCAGTAAACGCAAAACCACGTGCTATAGCAGCGTATGATTAACGACATAATCTGGCAATTAACGTACGAGTATATCTAATTAGCCACATTCGGTCCAATTAAAGCCGCTACGCATCCTATTCCCTATAATATATATCCCCACAATATAATCGTTTGTTATTATGTACTTATCTAATTAATTAGTGTTAACACTGTAATGAGCCTCATAGTATAATATTACCGTAAGTTTCATAATACAAACAACCGTGTAGTGGCGGTGTAAGAATATCCACTAGCCCATATCGTCCCGCGGGTGTCGTGAGACACGACAGAGGGAATTTGAAACAGGAGATGGACAGCAGCGTCCAGAAAACAACCTAAAATAATAAAAAAAAACGTGTGGCACTCGGGGACTGCCGCGGTAAAGCTATTGCATAGCATTTTGTATCAACTTATGCAATTATAATTATTTATTTATTTTATTTATGCAGTTAAGTCTTTGATATTAAATCAAGTTACACTTTTTGAGCGTGGTGACCGATAAGAAAACAATTTTTTTTTCTCTTATTGAATAAATGAGAAGTTAATATTGTTTAAAATATTTTTAATATCTTACAATACATGTAGGTTATTCAGGAATTTTTATCATTGAGTTAGCAGCTAGTGTACACGCATAAGTCTAGTCGCACGCACACAAACACCGTGCCGAAGTCTGCCGAGTGCCGAAGTCTGCCGAACTGAAACGACGTTAGACGATGCACGGCTTTCAAAACGCCACACCTCCGTGCCCGTCGGAGTGGGGAGCGTGAGGTTTTTTTTCGTTACGGAATTTCTGGTTTCGGTCCCCGCGCTCAAGGCCCGCGATAGAAGCTATGCAATAGCTTAAAAAATGCATAGATAAGAAGTAATAAGTTTACACTTTACAGTGTGTTAATTTAATATTGCATGCCCTAAGCGCAATGAGCTCTCAGAGAATACAGAGCTCAAAAAATAATTGTAACAATAATGTAATGTATGTTAATAAATTTCATTTCATTTCAATGCCCTTATGTATGTTATACTAGCGCCTAAAAAGCAAGAATCCAAAGTTTTGTCGCATGAAATCGTATCTAACAATCATATTGAACATAAAAAGCACATTGTCAGAAAGGTAAATGATTGTTGAACTTATTATTTAAATAAGTTAGTGTGGTTTACAGAACCTGAAGTGGACGGAGCAGGTGGCTTAAAACCGTGCTTTATGGCATTCCTTGAGCTACTTTCAGCAGTGGACTAGTGAAAGGTTGTAACGATGATTACGATGAGAAATATTTTTTTTTATAGGATAGGGTGACAAACGAGCACACAGTCCACCTGATGGTAAGTGGTTGCTGTGGCCCATAGACTGACACCTACATGTATCCTCGAGTGCGAATCAAAATACAGATACGTTGTCACCCGTGAGGACTAAGATGGAATGCTTCATTTCCAGTAAAAAGAGTCTCCTCTACAATCACCATACGAAACACAGCAGTATTCTGTGAGAGCGTGGTCCTTCCCCGGTCGAGACGACCCATTAGTGCTACAACTATACTACCAATAGAACCGCAGCATTGCTCTACCACGTATAAAAATCTGAAAATTGTTTTGAAATAACATTTCAATTACCACACTCTATAAAAGAAAGTCGTAAAAGTTTTTATACGAAGCTTTTTAAACAAAAAAGCAAACGTCAAAACGTAGCAACGAAAACAACGCTGAATATAAAAATAAGTCGTGAGGCAAGAAAACGGTCCGTAAATAGTCGCATGTAATGACCGGAATTGATTTACAGCTGTCACGTGAGCTGCGGCTCTTGCAGAAGGAATATTTACGACGTGTCACTATACTGCTGGGTGTCATGTCACCTGTATAGAAATACGTGAAGCTACTTGATGCTTTTGGCTAAAATAGGGTCGCCGGGTCGACATACCGGCGCCGGGAGCCATAATATGACAACTCATTTACAATTTGATTCACAAACCAGCTGGCTTCGACTGAATTAATGTGGCATTACTTACATTTGAGATAAGCTAAGACCATCTGTTTTATAATTTTTTATTAAATTAGGATTTTTTTTTTGTAAATTTTTTCGAAAAATTCCACACAATCGGTTCAGCCAATCCGAAAATTTACCCGGACAGTTAAACAAAGATGGATTTTCAGCAGATTTAAAAAGGAGGAGGTTTGCAATTAGACGATGTTTTTTTTAATATATAGACTAAGGGTGACAAACGATCACGTCCGCCTGATGGTAAGTAGATGCTGTGGCCCATAGAGACATCTACATTTATCCTCAATTAAGAATCAAAAAGGCAGATGTGTTGTCACCCCTGAGGACCAAGATGGAATGCCTCGTTTCCAGTAAAAAAGGATCTCCGGATCTCTACACTCATCATACGAAACACAACAGTATTAAGCTGATACTTTACGCTGATATTCTGTGAGAGCATGGTCCTTCCCCTGTCGAGCCGACCCACCCGTGCCACAACCATAATATAGCTGCAGCGTGACTCTACCACGTATAAAGTGTACAGGTATGTGACGTGATATCTTCCTCAATTAGGAACCTATTTTAATGATCATATTATTTTTCAGGCCACACCTCGACGGAGATCCCATTCGAATTTTAAGAAAAAACTCCACCCCAAAGCGACTTCGGAAGCTATATGTGGAAACTATTTTATGGTTTTTGGTTGTGTGTAAATCGGTTATAATTAGTTTTCAAGTACTTTTTATATTCCTCATCGTATTTTCAATACTACTTTAAATTCACAGCATCATTTTAAAATTACGTGGATGTAGCTAATTGAATTTTTAACATCTTTTATATATTTGTAGGAAGTATGGCTAAAACTTAGTTCGACAATATTATGTCAAAGAAATTCGTAGTATGACCAGAGTATCACCATCATTCTCTTCCCCCAAAGGAATGCCACGAAGCACGGTCATGAGCCAACTGCATCCATCTACTTCCTACATGTCTTACCAGATCATCACTCCATCTAGTGGAGTCGCCTTACACTACGCCTATACGTCTACCGGTGCGAGGCTGCCACTCGAGAACCTTTTTTCCCCATCGGTTGTCGGTTCTTCGAGCTATATGGCTGGCCCATTGGCACTTCAGCTCACTAATCCGTTGGGATATGTCGGCCACTCTGGTTATACTGCAGATATCCTCATTTCTAAGTTTATAACGCAGAGAAACTCCAAGCATAGCCCTCTCCATAGCTCGCTGAGCGACCTTGAGCGTATCATACGGACGACCATGGTACCAGAGTAAATATAAGGAATTATCCATCGCTCATAATATAAAAATATTACATAGAATTGGTAAGATGAAATAGCAAGGATATGTAAAGACAACCGTTAGGAGAAAAGGGCAGTTGCACTAAAATGACATGAATAACGACCAATATGAATACCATGCAGTGGCAGTGTAAGAATATACACGCGTACTTGTATATAAAGAGGTCGGTGATATACACTGACCCATATCGTCCCGTGGGTGTCGAAGAGGCAACAGAGGGAAACTAAAAAAGAAGATGAGCAGCAACATCTTCCTGATAACAACTCAAAGTAACAAAAATCTTTTTTTTTTTTATAAAAGAGGGGCAAACTAGTATTCGGCTTACCTGATAGTAAGTGACGACCGCCGCCCATTAACAACTGCTGTTGCAAAGACCAGCAACGCACCTGTACATTCTCCGGTGTTCCAGGGGAAGTACAGGTGCGTTGCTAGCCTTTTAATAAGAAGTGAAGTCG